ACGTGCTGTGTGTCCATCTGAGAGACTGGCTCTGCAGGCGCCTCGAGTGAAACGTGCTGTGTGTGTCCATCTGAGAGCCTGGCTCTGCAGGCGCCTTGAGTGAAACGTGCTGTGTGTCCATCTGAGAGACTGGCTCTGCAGGCCCCTTCTCGCAGCCTTGAGAGGAACATCCAGACTCCTTCCCTTCCCTGGCCTGCGGCCCTAGGGGGTCATGATTTGAGGCGGCCATCCTGAGACATTGTTGTCTAGACAGATGTTTTCTGGGGACATGGCCAACTACGAGGCTGGCCCTTCGCCTCCTCCCAGAGCTGCCTGGCAGGTGACATGTTCCCCAGGCCCTCTGGCAAAGGGGAGGACAGGATGCTAACATTTGTTCTCTATGTGCATTTGACACAAGCAGATGCTTGTAATTGTCAATAGGAAACACAGCTGTTAAGTGACTGACCTTTGCAGATGGGGGACGGGGAGTCCCACCCTTGCTGGGTGCAGGTGACCTGCTCTTGGCCCTGCAGCTCGAACCCCTGGTGGCAGGAAAACACCAGCATGCGCCTCCCGGCCTCCTCACACGGCACGAAGTCCCCATTGTCCACCTTTGCTGGGAAGCCACACTTGTCATCTGTGCAATGTCACAGGTCAAAACACAGTCAGACACTGGGACAGAAAACCTCACTCCAATGTCCTGGTCACGGGCTGAGTTGTGTCCCCAGATTCATGTTTAGTGCCACCCTGCCACACCTCCCAGTGACTGCACTGCAGGAAGGGCCTTGGGACGGGACGCTTAGTGTCTGTCTCTCTTTTATAGAAAGTAAAAAAAAGGAGTGTGTGGGGGTGTGTGTCTGGGTGTCTGGACATGTGTGCATTTGTGTGTCTGTGTGTCTGTGTGTCTCTGTGTCTGTGTTTGTGTGTGTTTGTGTTAATCCACTTGCCAGTGGCCCCAGCCTTGCAGATGTGCCTCCTGTAAAGGTCAGTGGCTGGTCACTGGCTGGTGTCCAGCTGCGTGGTGCCGAGGGCCCCACAGAGCCTGCACACTCAGGATCGAGGGCTGCATGCAGAGCTTTGGGAGACGATGTAGTTGGACCTGGGCCCTGTGCTGTGTAGAACAGAGCAGAGGCTGAACACCTGCCATGTCAGACTAACTCTCAGGTACTGTCAGGATCCTGGGAACCCCCTTCTTCCCAGAAGACCCTTTCCTAAACAGCCAGTGCTGATGTCCTTTGCTCTTAAAGACATGATCTCATCTGCAGCTTCTCAATAGGGGTGGCCATCACTGGGCCATGGGGCTATGCTGTGTCCATCTGCAGTGCTCACAGTGCTGCAGGTGACCCAGATTTGCTGTGGAGGGGCTGCTGTACCCCCAGAGCACTACACAGACCCCACAGCAGAGGGCCCCCTGAGCACCTTTCCAGGGACTTAGCTGAGTAACTTCCTCACTTCATAGGCTGTGGCCACACCATGGCCTCCAGGGCATGCAGGGCAGGGCACTGGTGCCCTTTTCTAAGCTGCTCAGGGTCTAAAGGCCACCCCTGGGAGGATGCTCTCCCCTAGGGGAGTTCATACTGTGGGTTCAGGTAGAGGGGCGCCAGGTCACCTTGAGGAAAGGTCTCCCTCCACACCTCTAGGTTCATGCTGGGGATGTCCTCACAGGACTCAAAGTCCTTGGGGAATTTTCCTACTTGGAAGGCATTGACAGGCATGCTGGTGAGGCCTGTGTTGTCACAGATGACCCGAGACAGAGAGTGCTTCTCCAGCTCACGCCTCTGTGCATCCGTGAAGACTCCCCTGTTCTCCCACCAGAACCTGGACGGAGAGAGACAGACATAGCAGCAGACTCAGGTCGGGCCCTCGGGCGGCCCTACCCAGCCCGCACTCCGAATGCCTGCCGGTCCTGCCCTGTGCCCACTTGCCTCCCCCTGTAGGTTGGCCCAGCTGGGGCACCACAGAGCATGGTGGGCAGGCGGGGCCGAGGGTGCAGAGCAGGTATGAGGCAGAGAGGCTTCAGGGCCGTTCTCCACCTGTCTGGGGAACGAGGTTGATGCCGGTGCACCTAGAATTACACACTCTGGCTTCTCTGTCTTCCTCAGGCCACTTTAACCAAGACAATGCTGGTCTTAGCAAATATGGCCTCACTTTTCTCTCAGAATATTAAACTGCTTGACCAGGCCCCAGGAGCCCCTGGTGGGAGATCTTACTTTCTCATGCTAGGCCTTTCTCCCTCCCACATGGGGAGGAACTCCTCTTAAAATGTGAAGAGAGACCCCAATAACCACAAGTCAGCTGATCTCATTTCTGTATTAGGGAGATATTTGTGAACTAAAACAAAATCCTAAGTCCCCACATGGCCAAAACAGACCCCCAGGCCAAGGGGCCCTAGAGAAGCCTTAAAACTGAGGTCTGAACCAGGACAGGCCAGGAGGTTGCACACACATATCTACCCTCCTGGAGATGGCCGTCAGCTTTCCAGGCAGACCAGTGGCTTTCCTGACAAGAGGCCACCAGACGTGATGTGGTGTTAACTGTATGTAGGGTGTGTGCAGAGAAGACTTGGTGTCCTGTCCCACCTTTCTGACACAGAGGGGCACATTTCTGAACACGGACCCCGTGAAAGGTCAGGATGCCCCACCGCACGGGTGCATGTGTGCGTAAACATCCCCGTGTCCTATGGCTGGTTAAATGTGCATATTTGGCCACCTGCTCCCTATAAAGTCCTGTTGCCTTGTGCCTCCATTGGAGCGCATGTCTCCAGCCTGCAGGAATGGCCTGTGGGCTGAAAATCTCAGTGAGAAACAGAGCTCCTCTTTTCCAAATGACAGACCCCATTATATGCTTTTTCAGTTAACACATTCAGTCATGAACATTTGGGGTGAGAAGTGCATGGCTTCCCCATGGGAATCTGCCAGCCACTTTTGGGGGCTTGTTTCAAATTGAACTTCAACCAGACGTCATGCAAGGTGCAGGGAGAGACAGGAAGGGAACATGGGAGTAAACAGCCCCTCTGCACCGGTGGCTGCCCAGGTTCAGAGCGTTCTACACACGTGCTTCCTAGGAAGCAGTCCCCAGGGAGACAGAGGCCTCGGGGTTCATGCCCAGGTGTCCTCACTAGGACGGCATCTCAGAAGTCAGGATAAGCCTGCTGGGGAATCTCTCAAAGGAGCACGATTTTCATAAAAAAATCTGAATCAGGTGCAATGACCACCAGCTAAAGTGGGAGAGAGAGAACTGGATATGTAGGGATTATTAAACAAGAAAACATTTTCTACTGTTTTTGTCTGTGTGGTCCCCAGACTCTGCCTCACCACACGATCAGCTTCTGCCAGGGCAGGTGGAGACCAGAGTTAGAAACCGAGAGGGGGCAGGCAGCATCTGGCCAGGGGCCTGTCCAGCATGCAGCTCCCAGGCGCAGGTCACAGCCACCCCTCAGTGCCTGGGTCAGCACTCACTGAGGCATCCTGAGGATGGATGGACTGGATGTGGCTTGTTTTCACTGGACGCCCACCCGTGACTGGACATGTGAGGGAACCAACTAGCGTCCGTGTGTGCGAGTGCTGAGAGCCTGCTCTGTGCTCAGTGTGCCCCCCACCCCCACTTTACTGATGACACTTTCAGTCCAGGACATTGGCTGAAGGGTCACCTAATGTTGGGCCCAGAACTGCTCTGAGTAAAATCAGTGTGGCCTCCCCAGCCCTGCACAGAAGATGAAGACACATACCCGGGACCCACCTGTCCCCGTCCCTCAGGGCCTTCATCTGCCTCCCGATGATGCAGGCAAACAGGGGGCCAGTGCGGGCCCCCGGGAGCAAGTCCTCAGCCAAGCCCCCCAGCCAGACGTCCACATTGTCCAGATGCTGGTATAAGCGCATTATTCTCTCGGCCACGCTCCTGTTAGCCATGGCTGTGTGCAGGTGGGCAGGTGTCTCCAGGCGGGGCAGGTTGCAGAACTGCCGCCAGGCGTTGTAACCTGCACCGGGAAGGGTGGTCAGCCCACCTCATGCCCGCTGCCTCCCTCCAAAGCTGGGAGGGCAGCACTGGGCCCTCATTCATCCCAGTCACACAGAAACTCTGCACTGTCTGGCCTGGTGGCATTCTCCATGACAGAACATTCCAGCAAAACTTCAGGCCTCTTACTGAAGAGTGTGTGGGTGCACAAGTAAGTGAGGAGAGAGGGCAAGCTCTGTGGCCCTGCTGTCCCCATGAAGCAGAGACTCTGAGCGAGGCCAGCCTGCGGGCTGCTAAGGTGACATGTGTCAGTGCTGCCCAGAGCAGCTAGGCTGTCCTTGCTCAGAGTCTCTGCTTCATGGGGACAGCAGGGCCACAGAGCCAGCCAGCTCAGACCCCCACCCCGGGGAGGACAGGGACACACAGGAGAGTGTCTGTGCCATCACCTCTGTCTGGCAGAGCCCTGCTCTTCTGCAGCCTCAGCCCCACTATGGGGCTCTCCCTCCCCAGCCCTGTCTTGTGGTTGGGCCTGCAGGCTGCTCCTTGCCTGACACACTTGTCCTCCACGCCGCCCCACCTGACACACTCCTCCTTTCATCTGTCACCCACAGCCCTCTCTTCTTGGCTCCGCCCTCTCTGTGCTGCCCTCTCTGCTTGGCTCTGCCTCGTCCAGGCTGCATGACCCTGACTTTCTGCAATGACAGCTGCCTGTGTCTGCTCAGAGTGCTTGCCCAGGCTTGGTATTGTTTTCTCTGATACCTGTCTCTGCCTGTCTGTTCTCACTGCACACCTTGGGCCCTGCTCAAATGTAGGTGCACACCGACACTCAGGCACACATGCAACACACCCACACTCACATATGACACATACATGCACATGCATGCATTTGCACATCCACATTCACACACATACACAGGCACATGAATAGACACTCAGGATGGGCCAGCTCCTCAGGGCTATTGAGGAGTCCATGAAACAGGATGTGGGGGCCCTGTGGGCGCCTCCTGTGTAGACTAAGCAGGCTGGAAGGGGCAGTGCATCTCCAAGGGAGGACGGGGGAACCAGGCCACAAAGGGACAGCTGAGCCCAGGGCAGATGACAGATTAGGGTAAGGGGAGACAGATTGAAGGACAGAAGCCTTGGTGAGATTTAGAATTGGGGTTTAGAAAGCTGAGAACAAAAACTATAGAGCCCTCTTTTAATGCAGTGACTCCTGGGCTGGGTGCCTGGTACCCCGTGGTGCTGTACTACGATGTTCCTCTGCCTCAGCCAACATCTGCCTGTGGGAGGCAGGTGGGCTCTCAGCCCTGTGACCCCAAGGCAGGGTCACTCTAGTCCCTGCTCCCAGCTGGGCCAGCCCAGCTCCTCTTTGGAGTCACCCAGGGGGAAGTCACCAACCCCTCCCAGAGCCCCCCAACCCACCAGTGGCAGTTCATGTTTTCACAGTTGGTGTCAGGACATACCACCCAAGCACATCCTCCAAATTTCTTATGGTCTGGGGACAGATGGCATGGAAGCACTGCGTCTGGCTTATGCAGAAATGCATGTCCCCACTGCCTGCCACAGGGACTGTAGCAGTTATTTCACCAAATCTTTGCTGAAAGAGTGCATTTATCTTCAGGATAATCAAACCCCAAAGTATTGAGTAAATTAAAGTTCTAAAATTAGGGGGAATGTTTCTATAGCAATAACAACCACCTCCAAACTATTCCAAGTAGTAAAACCTAATGAAAACCTTTCAGTACCTGTGGGAGATTGGTGCCTTACTTTTAAAAAGAATAAAAAGTTAGAAAAGCATTTTCCTTTCTTATTGCTCTAAGAGGAAATGTATTTTTATCCTTTTCCAACTCCAGAGAGAAAATGTGTGCTGTCTGGACACCCGGCGAGACAGGGAGGGACATTGTCAGGGCGTGGGAGGACGACAGGGGTTCAGATATCCCTGCCCGTGTGAAGAACAGGGGCGGGAACGTCCCTGGGGTCGGGGAAAGGCTGGATATTTTACATTCTCTGCAAAGTAAAAGACGGTATTTCAGGGTGCAGTGGAAGACATCCCCGCATCTTTACAAGAGCGTTTCTCAGTGAGCTCTTGTCTGACTGAGCCTCTGATCTAGTTGATCGGGTTCAGGGAAGTGTCCACGTGTAGGTGACCAGCTGCAGCCCGAGCCTCTGGCTGCAAGAACTGAGTGTGGGGTTTGGCAGCGCTCTGGCACTCAGTCTCCTCATCAGGTTTTGAAAGAGAGAAGAGCGATCATGACCAAACCACCAGGGTTGTGTGGGCCCGGGACAGAGAGAACTAAAACAGGCAATGACGCTTTGGCAGATGACGCTCTCATGTTGCTCTGATCATTGATGGCACTCACAGCTCTAGTGTCCCAGCCCCCCTCACTGCTGTGGTGCTCAGCTAAGCAGGAGGGACTTCTTGGAGTTAAGAGATTCCTTCAAACCTGGGCTTCTCATGCTCAAACCAGGTCTCTGAGCTCCAGCCGAGAAGTGCCTGGTGTCTTGACCCCTGCCTTCTAAGACTGTCATTCCTGGGAGGGGGGTCACTTGCCTGCTGCTCCCTCCTGAGCTCTCCCAGGTGCCCCTTCTGTGCCAGTGGCAGCTCTGGGTGTGGGCTGAGGAGTAGGACACCCTCCCGGAGCTTACGCTCTGCCTGGTGGAGACAGGCTGATGGGAAGTGGATTTTCACACATTTCAGTACCTTTCATCACACTTTAGTTGGGGAAAAGGCAGGCGGGAGCAGCTGGAGCAGGAAGGGGGCATTCAGGTGCTGTCTTGGGATAGTCTCGCCTAAGTAGGGCCTTGAGGAGGGTTAGGCTGGGTCAATAGCAGGGGCATCCTGGCCAGAGGGAGTGGCACATGCAAGGGCCCCAGGCAGGACCTGTGTCCTGAGCTGAGGACAGGGTGCTGGTGAAGAGGCAAAGGTGCTTCTCTGGACACCCAGAGGGGCCCTCCTGGGTCTTCCTCTTGTCCACCTCCTGTCCCCAAATATTTACAGTGGAGCAGATGCCTGAAAGGCGGTGGTGGTGGGATGGCTGAGCATGGGATGTGCACTTTGTGAGAGACTGTGGGCTGAGGGTCAGTGCCTAGAAACCACTGTGTTGACAGGGTCCTGTGGACTGAACCTCTGAGCAGCTGCGAAGTGCTCCCCAGTCAGAGGTCTGCAGGGTGCTCCAGAGTCATCCTCACTGTGGAGGTTTAGGCAGCCCTGATCACAGCGGGACCTGTCCCCGGTGGGTCTACAGATGCACTGACACTCCCCAGAGGGCACCCCCTGAGCCCCCAGGGGATGCAAGGAGCAGAGCCCATAGAGACTGTCAGGGCCAGCTGAGGCCTGGACAGGTGCCACAAGTCCGCCAGATGGCCTGAGAGCAGGGTGGAATGTGGGGAATTGGGGTAGGTGAGGGGTTGGGCCAATGGGGCTCTTGCCTTGAGCAGAGTTGTTGCTCATGCCAGGGGTCAGACTGGACCAGATGGTCACGGTGGGCAGCAGAATGACCTTTGAGGATCCCAGGACAGGGGCATTGTGCAGAGAAGGGGAGGGGACATTCCAACCATTCAGGAGCTCTCTGGACACCAGACCGACACCTGCCTGTCTGCCCAGAGGGTGCCTCCTCCCTCTCCCCTGAGTCCTGGAGGCCTGGTGCCCACCTCTGCTGTCTCTCTTCTAAGAGAAGCTGGAGGGTGTCTGAGCAAGCTCGCACATTCTGGAAGCCCTTTGATTAGTTGCTGGAGGCAGATATGTGGACCTGAGCAGCGTGTGTTGAGAGGGCCACAGACCTGGCAGGCCGTGGTCCCGGCCACGCTGCAGGTTGATGGATGCCAGGTCCAGGGCACTGGAGTTGGGCAGCACAAAGAGCATCTGTGTCAGCTCCTCATTCATCAGCTGGTCCTGTACCTGCAGTTTGGCTGGTCTTGCAAGAAGGCCTCTGACCAGAGGGTCCAAACCCCCTGGAAAATACCATGCAGACAGCAAGGAGGGCTTTGCTGGCTTCCAGAGAAGCAGTGCCCTTACTCCCAAAGAACATCTACCCTTGACAAACACAGGTGATGAATTCACCCTGTACAATTCCAAAGTTTCCTGAGTATCCCTGGGACACTACCCATGTTGGTGGCTTAGTGCCATGAGGCACCGTCTGTGTGGCTTATGGGGGCCTGAACCCAGGCCTGGAGCAGGCCTGTGAGTTACTTGAGGGCTGTGTCGCCTGCAGCAGAAACATTACACTAGGAGGATGTGTTCACTGACATCTACTATGTAGGAACTCAGGTCACAGTAGGTCATGGTGCCTGAGGACCCCCGCTCCACCACCACCACCAAAGCCCCTCATGGAAGATAGATTAGCATCTCTCAGCGTCCATGCCCCTGATGGATCGTGAGCTCACAGTTAAGAGCAATATGGGATCAGTCTGGCCTCAGGGTACCCCCAAATCATGACCTGGACATGGTGTGTGGGGCCTGGAGGCCAGGCTGAGCTCTGACCTCTCCCTGATGAGTTCTGTATCAAAGCACCCATTTAGAGGGGGTCACAGAGCCACTGTCCCCAACTCCCCACACACACTCAGAGTAAACCAGCTTTCAAGATGGGTTAAAAGCTTCCAGACAGACTTACAGAACCCTGGGAATAGGAAAGTATAAAAACAATCCTTCTGAAAAACTCACCAGGGAATTAGAATGTTTCCTCCAAACAGTTCATGTCTGAAAGTAACCCAACTATTAACTTTCTAAAGCTTACGGAATTGATTGTAACCACAGAACAAATGAAATGATTGAGGATGTAGAAACAATGGCATTATTTATAATGCACAGTAGTAGATAGAGATTTTCAAGTCAGTATTTCTGAAATAATGGCTGAAGAGTTAACTGGCACCTGGAATAGTTTATCCTGTGGATTCTGAAGAACTTCAGAAATGTGGGAGGAAGCATTTTTGGTGGATATTTGGCCTTTTACAAAGCTTTGAGCAAACCAGTTCCCCATACATGTATAAAGCGTGGACAGCACAGCTCATGCACCTATGGGGAGGGGGACGCACCTGCTCAGCTTGCAAGACGCATGCACCTAGTTACAAGCGTGGAGGCGGCATCCCCACCTGGGGCAGAGACACTCACCTCCCCGGATGAGTGTCCATGGGTTGAAGAAGGTGTCGTGCAGAGGCAGCCTGGGGAGGGTGGGGTGCTCCTGGAAGTAGGCATCGAGCCGCCTCACCAGCGGGTTGACAATGGTGTGGCCAAAGCGGAAGGCGGCCGTGGAAAATACGTTGGACACAGTGGGGTTCACGGTGGGGTCATAGCCTTCATAGGGTCCTATGTGCTGCTCGAAGGCCTCTGTGCCCAGGACCTTGGGGACGTAATCACGCATGGTTATGATCTGTGTGGAAAGGAAAACAGGATGCCTGGTGAGGGCTGAGTTAGAGCTCCCTATGGGGGACAGCCCTGGGGCTGATGTCCTCTCATGGAGCTGGCCTGGGAGGTAATGGGAACAGGCCCACAGTCTGCAGGGACACCCACATTCCAGGTGAGCCCAGGGCTCACATATGTGGGACCGGACGGAGCACACCAGAGACTAACCTGCCTGACACCCTCCTGTGGGGCAGGAAATCCCCACGGCAAACTGTCTTCTCCCCTCCACCTCACCTGGGAGACATCTACTAACACCTGACTATAAAACATAAACTGGAAACCTGCTCATGTCAAGGAATCGTGGGCTCAGAGGCTCGGGATTTAGAACGGGGTGATCAGCCTTTCTTCTTTTCTGGTACACATTGGAAGAAGAGTTGTCCTGGGCCACACTCAAATACGCAAACCCTAACGAAAGTGGTGAGCAAAAAAAGGTCGGTGCACACTCTACATGATACCTGAAACCATAGACAAGCAAAAAAGGTTCTCACAAAATCAGCAGGTGGCTCTCGGGATGCAGGTTGGACACCCCTAATTTAGAACAACTTGATTTCTAATCCTGCTCCCATATTTCTTAGCTCATCTAACTTTACTGAGCCTCTGTTTTCTTGGGTGGAAAGGCCTGTTTCACAGAGTTTTTGCAAGAATAAGAGACAGCCATAGTTATATATATGTGTGTATATATATATACAAAATACATGTACACATATATAATCTGTTATATAATACCATATAGAGATATATGGTATATATATACATATATAATAGTACATTATAAAATGTAAGCAGGGACTGAGACCCCTGGGTGACCTTTCTTCCCCTCCTGAACTATCTCCAGCAACCACCTGTAAGTTCTCACTCTTCTTTATAGCCACATGGCGAGGGCAGCTGGGTCTAGGCTTTAAACAGGAGCTGATTGTGTATGGTGATTTCACAGGTGAGTCTAGTCCCTCCATTCTGTTCCTCCCTGTGATGATGCCCTGCGTTGTCCAAATTGAGCCAGATGGTGATGCTGAGGGCTGGAAGGTTCCTGCCCCGACTGGCCAGTGAGAGGAGAAAGGTAGACGTATACCTGCTGATCTGACTGGGGCTCTGGGAACACGGTTTTCTTGACCTGCAATGAAGGCCTCAACTGGATTTCTCAAAAGGTTTTTTTTGCTTGTTTTTCATGGATATTCAGGAGGTACTTTTCCAAGGCCAACCATAGACTGCCCTCCCTGGGACAGCAGTTGGCCTGGTGGGGGCCTGAGGTAGCACCTTAAAGGGACACCTGGGTCTGTGAAGTGCTAGTGGGCCCTGAGTCCAGGCTAGGGGGCTTATTCCTGGCTAGGTCATCCATAGCTGGGGGCAGTTTCCTTTTCTGTGAAGTGATAATCGTCTTGATTCCCAGAGCTTGTGAGGGCTGAATCAGAACATACTGTGAGCACAGCACTCCGTCTATGGAAAAATCATAGCAGTCACAGGGTCCTGAAATTACCATTTGATACCTGGTCTCAGGAGAATAATGTGTACAGATTCTGCTTCTAGATTTTAAAATATTTTTTCAGCCAGAAAAGTCAGTGTTGAGGGGTTTTGGTGTTTATGGAGGACATTTTGGTCAATAGACTGAATCAGAATGAAAGGGAATAGGAAAGATTCTATACAGGAACACGAGTCTTATCTTGGCTATCCATGCAGGAAGGCAAGCACGTTGTTTAAAAAACAATTTATATGCTCGTCATATATTCCTTCCAAATGATAAAATGCATTTCCTAAGCACATAATTTGGGACTTTGCAGGGGCCCACGGTGGCTAAGTTGTTGTTTCCCGGCTTCTGTCTATAGTTAATGGATCCCCTGGTGGTCCCACCTGCTCTGAAACCAGGGTATGGGGGAAAGGAATGCTCTGTCCAGATATCCCCAGAGTGGACATGGGGTATGGAAGGCGCCATCCAGACAGCCCCATAGAGGACATGAGGGAGAGGAAGTCTGTGTCCAGGAGCCCCCAGACCAGGCTTTAGTCCTTCTGTTGGCTCACCCATTGGTGACATGTGCCCATATCATACATCAGCATCTACAGAGTAGTTCTGACTCTGTTGTGCAGAAGAGCCTTCACTGCAGACGTGATATATGTGAGTGAAGTTTCTGGACCACACTCATGGCCAGGCCACTTTTCCCCACAGCAGGGGAGGTCAGGTCAGTGGCTCTCATGTCCAGAGAGGGCCCCTCTCAGTCCTGCACTGCCTCTTTGGTTTCTTCTCACCACAGTAGAAGAGACA